TTGATGTGCGCTCCGGTACACGGACTTGAGCACGCGATGAAAGCCAGCCTTCTCGAACAGCGGCACAAGACTCTGTGGACTGGGTGGGTGGTAGATGGAGAGAAGATACTCGACTGACAGCTGGCAGTCTTCCTTGATCGTATCCGTAGGGTAGTTGCAGAGACCGATAAGGACCTGATGCAGCGACGTCCCTGGAAGCATGATATGTTGCGGGTATTTCGGCAAATTTCGCGCGACGAACATGTAGAAGTAGATGATATCTTCTGGGTCGAAGTTGTCGGTGTTCATTATCCCGAAAAGGTAGTTTATGATGGACTGGCGAGTGGGAGTGAGAGCAGACCCTTTGTGCGTGCCGTTAAGCTGGGCCCCGTTTGGTGCATCTTGCTCGCCATTCAAGAAGCTATCCTCAAAGGCCTCGTTCAGCATGCTCATGAAGCTCGAAGCGTCAAAGTCCAAGACGAGCTGCAGATACGGAAATGGAGGCTCTGGGCTGCCGTCAGATTGTGTCAGGATGACTTCGCCTGAGCCTGGTGGCCATTCCAGGTTCTTCCCTGAGAACAGGAATCGATACATGTCCTTCTTGGCACTATATGCTTTGTCATCCTCCATGAAAGCGCCGCCAGGATACACCCGCCCGGTGAAGGTGTACGCTAGGTAGGGAAAGATCTTCTTCGCGGCGGTGAGATAGATGTTCTCCGTCTCATCTACGTCAAAATCTACGAGCTTGATAAGTTCAAGGATGTTGGTGAGTGGCGTAATGTAGTCGCCGATAGCCCTTGTCCACACATAGATCAGCGCGTCGTACAGTACGTATTGTTGACAGAGCATGGTGACTTGATTGAGGTCCATCGTATCGGTGCTGAGCCGACAGATCATCTCTTCGAGCTGGGCGGAGCGATTGGCTGAGGCATAGAACGTGATGAGGTCCTTCAAGACGTTCGGTGGTACTGCGGTGATCTCGTCGTCTTGTATGTATGGCTCGAGGGTCTCAAAGAAAGCCTTCTCTGCTGATGCTTCTTCGTAGGTATCGTAAACGTCTTCGAACAAGAAGTCATATTCCTCCATGCATAGCAAACCTGTGAAGACCACCTCAGCAAGCTCTTTCGCTCGACGCTCCTGCGCATCGCGATCGACGTCGTCCTGTCTCGAGAAGGAATACTTCAATGAGGCCGTAATCATCTCGAGAAGCTTTGGCTGTACAAGCGCATGACGTGCTTTGTCATCGTCGGGCAGTCCGACCGTGAGCTTGTCTGCATCCCCGAGGTAGTACGAAGTCGCGAGACCGATAGCGGCAATGTAGTCGCCATCCTCCATCAAGGCCAGCAGGCGGTCAGCCCAGTTTGAGAGAGTGCCGATGGAGCAGTCGTTGAAACCCAGGAGGAACAGCCGACCCTTGTACGCCCGGAAGCTCATGTAGAAGGCATCTGCCACGACACCATGCAGCGACGCATCTTCTTCATTGAGCTGCTCAACGACCGGCTTGAGCTGTCGTGAGAAAAGGTCCGAGTGGTAGATGTGCTTCTGCAGCAAATCAAATGAGTCTGTCATGCGGAGGGTGTTGTCTTCCAAGATCATGAGACGCTGACTAATGGTAAGCACGCTGAGAACTGATCGACTCAGCCACTGAACAGCAACAATAGCTTCTTCCGCCTTCCAGCGACTCCGAGATCTGAAGCGAAGCTCAACAGGCTTTTCTCTTTCCGACGGGGGCGGCAGGATGGAGTCGACTTCGAGTATGGTCAGGACGTTAGACCAACAGTACACGAGCTTTGTTTTGGATATCGCGTTCTCGGAACCGTCGGAGGAACTCTTCAGCTTGACAGCCGGAAACCAAGCCAAACATCCGCTCAACGCGCTGTGCGCTTCCACATCTTTGGGTCGGGGCGCTTTGTGCTGGGTCTGTGCAACCGGAGTAGTCGAGACAATGACTAACAGATAGGGTGTTAGCAATGCGGTCAGACCCATGTTGTCGGTTGGCTGCTCAACGTTGCCTAATGGCAGGGGTGCGAAGGCCAGCACAGAACTTGGTTTCCGAGGCTTCTCCAGTGACTTTGCCGACAATGGATATCTCCCCAAGATGCGAGTAGTCTTGACTGTCCGCGCGATCGCCCCTAGCCCACGTGTCGCCAGATGAGAGAAAGCCATGCCTGCGTCATCCGCGGAGACGAGCGCTGTGCGCCGGGTGCCGAGGAAACCCAGATGCAGAATGGCTACGCCCGAGACATGGCCATCTGACTTGTTGTCCTCTAGAGACGCCCTTTCCAGAGGCGGGATGTGCAAGAATGGCTTCGCCGGCTTCGCTAACTCCCATGTGAAGATGTGACCTGTCGCATGCCCCCCTGCAATGGCCGAGTGATCAGCAGCGATGGCTAGCGAAGTGATGGCTCCACATTCGACAGCCTTGGTACCCGGGCCAATAATGGACTTGAGGACCTGCTGGTAGTCGAAGATGAGAATGAAGCCTTTCGACGTTCCTATCGCCAACGAGACGGTCACATGTAAGCATGTGGGCCTGCCGAAGTTGCGCTTGCCAATCTCCGAGAAGACCTGTCCAGTAATCTTCTTCAACTTAGTCCATCGCACGACCTCCCACGGCGCCTGAGGTGTCTCGGATCCGTCATCAGACAGTTGCTGAAAGACGAGATTGCTCGATACAGAGGATTGTCGCGAGTGCGGCGATAGGAAGGCAGGTGACTGGCCGCGCGGCGTTGGTCCAGGGGATGGAGATAGGCGGGACGAGAATCGGCGTTCGAATGGCTGCAGCGATGTCGGTCGGTGAGGGCGAAGCGAGTTGTGCGACACGGGCACGCTGCTCGTGGGTGAGGATATACCGGAACCCTGTCTTGGTCAGAGGATTTCCATGTGGATCTGGAATGCTGCATACCTGAATCGAGGGGGTATCGTCGGGTATGTCCGTCGAGGCAGGGCTGCCTGCCACCTCGATAGTCGGTCGTATGGACAGCACCGATGCTGAATCATGCGTCTCTTCCTGGGGGCTTCTCCGCCGTGTCCTGGCAAATGTCAAGCCATCGATGCCGTTGTCTACCGACTGAACATCTTCGCTCTCGTCTTCGTCCAAGCTTCTTCGCTCGGTCGCGCTTCCCTCAGAATCATCTTCTTGTGCATCAAAAGCGCCCACCGCGCCTTCCCTGGTGTCTATCTCGTCTCCATGGTCGTTGTGAGCGCTGGAGTGGCTCTCTTCCGAATCTGAGCTCATCAGGCTCGTTCTGCGCAGGGCATTGCTTCAGGCGCACATCTGGTAGTTGTGGGTAGTTGTGCGATGTCTGGTATCTGGTCTTCGAGATGTTGTAGTTCGCGGGTGTAATCGACTGGGCGCGGGGGTTTCGGTGATGGTATGCGGTACGGGTCGGTGCTGCCTACGCGAAGGCGAGTTAGGCGTGCGTCCGAGCGGATAGCGCGGCAACCGAGGGCGTATGCGACGGGCGTGTAGTTAGTCGAGAGGGTGAAAGTGGCCCACGAGGGTTGGCATGGGCTGGCAAGGATGGCGCGTCCACGGAGCTCATGGCGCAGTTCGCAGATCGCCGCATGTGCCGCGCCGTTGGTGAAGGTCCGAGCTCCAAAGAACGTCACTCGACGCGCAGCCAGAAACATCTTTCCATTCACACCTCACACAACCCACGATGCCTTCAATAGGACCCACCATGCCGCCGCACCTCTCCAAGCGCAGTCGCGACGACGACGATGAGCGCGCATCGAGTCCAGAGTCCGGCGACAAGCGCAGACGAGTTATCGGCCCAGCACCTCCACCTTCCGCATCCTCACCTCCGCGCACAGCTGGGCCTTCACTACCACCAGACGCGACATCACGATCCAGTAGTGTCGACAGCGATGTCGGTCCTGCGCCTGCACCATCCTCAAAACCGGCGCGCGTAGTCGGGCCTGCTCCACCGCCAGCGCCTCTCGACGAGCGGCCGCCCAACCCCCCAGACAGCGACTCCGACAGCAGCGACGATGACTTTGGGCCCGCGCCGCCACCAGCTGGCGGAGCGTCTTCAGGCTTCGACAACGCCATGGGGAAATCGGCATTCGACACGGAACCGCAGTTCACCGATGCGCCGAAGAAGGCACAGCGCGACGAATGGATGACACTGCCCCCGACGCAGGACGATCTCGCCGCTAGAATGGACCCTACAAAGATGCGCGCACGCAAGTTCAACACAGGCAAGGGCGCTGGAGGCACAGGAGGCATGAGCAGCGCATGGACCGAGACACCAGAGCAAAAGCTCAAGCGGCTGCAAGACGAGGCCTTGGGCATAACCGCGCCCACCAACTCGGCGCCGGCCTCATCGGAGTCCAAACGCAACAAAGAGGAGGAGAGGAGGGCGCGCAAGATGCGCGAGAAGATCGATGCGACACGCGGCAAGAGTCTGGTCGAGCAACATCAAGACAAGGGCACCGGCAAGGAGAAGGAGGACGATCCTAGCAAGCGCGCCTTTGACTACGAGAAGGACATGGCTGTGAGCGGCTCGCTCAATCACAAGCAGAAGCGCGAGATGCTTAGCAAGTCAAAGGGTTTTGGCGATCGCTTCTCGAGCGGCAACTTCCTGTAACCGCGAAACGTAGACGTATGCACGACACAACTGGATCAAGTGTGGCTTCCGTTCCTGTCAAGGAGTTGTGTGACGGGAGCTCTTTCCATGCCCAATATGCACCACCACGTACCGATTGGGCGAGGATCTCCAGGCGCTACTAGCTGATTGGCTCCGTATACGCGGATGACGGAACTCGTCGCCGGCCTAAGTTATCCGCAGCGCGCCTTGACTCATATCACGCCTTCCGCTTCCAACGGCACGCTATGATATACCGAATCATGCCATAAGCGGAATGGACTCGAGATAGTGCAGATGAATCATTCTGACCAAGAGTACGTGTGGCTCACCTAGTCAAGAGCTTCCACGCTGCCTATAAACCGGTGTATCGTAGTAACATATATAGCGAGCGACCTGCGAATGCATACAGTATAGAATCCCACCCACATTATGGCTTACAGGACTCCCGAATTCGAGAAGCTAGTGCTAGAGAAGATCAGCGAGTTCCACGTGCCTGGTCTGTCGCTGGCGGTTGTACAAGGCGAGGACATCCACTCCAAGGTATCTAGGCCTCTCCACAAGAACTACTGCGGAGCACTCAAATCCCTCAGGCGTATGGCTATTCGGAACTACCCGACACCCAAGCGACTACAGACACCCTGTTCGACCTCGCAAGCACTTCCAAGTGTACCACTGCGGCAGCCGTGGCTATTCTCGTAGACGATGAGAAGTACCCAGACGTACAATGGACAACACCCGTGTCAAAGATCCTTCCCGATGACTTCGTTCTTCCCGACCCATATCTCACCGAGCAAGTCACCATTGAAGATATCTTGAGTCACCGGAGTGGCATTGCAACTCACGACGAGTCCTACCTCAGCGCGCGCGCCAAACACCCCGACAATGCGAAGTCCTTGACGCGCAATCTGCGCAATCTCGACTTCGTCAAACCACTCCGTACCGAGCATATTTACTGCAACATCATGTTCAGTGTCGCTGTGCACCTCATCGAAACTGTGACTAGTATGTCCTACACCGACTTCATCCGGACCAAGCTCTGGAAGCCACTCGGCATGACCAATACATTCCACGACGTACCCGACATTCAAGCCAACAGCGACACCGATCGACGCGCAAGGCCATACTACTGGAACAGCGAATGCGAGGCTTACGTCGCACTCCCTCACTACCCGCCAGCACCAGAAGGCCACGGCGCAGGCTGCATCTTCAGCAGCGCAGACGACTACGCGAAATATATCCGCGCGCTAGTCAAACGCGATCCGATCCTGTCCGAAGATAGCCACAAAGCGCTCGCCACGCCCCGCAGCTTCGATCTCCTCGGCGACGAAAAGTGGGCCATACCTTACAAGAGCGACGAGCTCTACACCCTCGGTCTATCTCGCACGAGCTATCGCGGACACACGGTCATCGGCCACTATGGGTCAGTACCCGGCTTCAAAGCCATGGTTTGCTTCCTCCCCGAGTTCGCCTGGGGCCTCGTCATCTTCGGGAACTCAGACACCGCTATGTACGTCAACGACATCCTGAAGTTCACATTGCTGGACGATGTCCTGGGCGTACGCGACGAAGACCGCGTCGATTGGAGCGCGTTCTTCAAGAACTTCCAGGCCATGGACGATGCCGAAGAAGCGGAGAAACCAGAGTGGACGAAGGTGGAAGATGCGCAACCGCTTGACGTTCCTCTTGACACGATAGTCGGTAGCTACCACAACGTTGGGTATAAGAACTTGGTCATTGAGATGAAGGACGACAGACTTGTTGCGGATTGCACCGATCGATGCTTTCCGTACATGCTTACGTTCGCACACCTCAGCGGTAACACGTTCGCGGTAGAGATGCACGGCGTGTGGGAGGGGAAGCTGTATAGTACTATCCGAGGCGAAATCCGAGTAGAGGCCGGAAAGGTCGTCGCGATCGGTGTAGGCCTTGAGAGCGACGTGAAGGGCGGTCTTATTTGGTTCGATCGTGTAACGTAGCCCACAGGCAACACCGTTACACCGTAGGCTTAATCACTCCGCCATGGCCCTACCACCGCGACTACATACCACTGTACAGCACCGTAAAGCACTGTAGTCAAGAATCCCAGGAGACTATATTAATCAGAACCCACCGCTGCATCTCGCTTGCATGTTCGTAAGGTGTTTAGTAAAGGCTACCCACGATTATCACGTTGCTGACTTCGACGTTCCCCAGGGCTCGCTGGCGCGCTACTCAACTACCCCTCATGGTGCGACCCGTCTCTCGCAAGCTGTTGGATATCGTCCGTAGAAGGCTGAATCACACGCTGGTGGCCTTGAATCTCACGTCAGATATGACGCATGCACTCAATTCACCCCGTCTTTGCTCTCGTACTTCACTGCAACTCCGGCACAACTCACGAATGCTATGGCCAACGATCGTGCTATCGCACTCAAGACGCAGATTCGTGACGCAGCCCACGGCCAGCAGCAGTTGCGACCGATATTCACGTCCTTAAACGGGGACAACTCGTGGCTTCTTTCCTTTCCACGTCCAACAGAAGAGCGGATTGCCGGCGGGAAAGCATTCTTTCACATCGTACACGACCCGTGGTTCAACGGCCCCGTCAATCTACTAGGGATATGGCTCGCAAGCTTCAGCCTGTCGTCTCCACCCGCCGTCAACAACGGCAGCAATGTAGAAGGCATCGCGCGCGACGTCGAAGCTGCAGCCGCAGACGCCGGGTTCCTTCCCACCACGACACCCGTCACTCAAGATGCTTCACCGATTGATGCGATCTTCATACGCTTCCACTACGACGATCATCTGCACAAGCCGACTCTGCTGACATTCGCATCAAGCATACCCGTGTTCGCGACAACAGAAGCGAGCGCGATCATCCGCGGCTGGAACCACTTCGACAAGATCATCACTACTAGCGACCTCGAGCCGGGTATCTTCAACGGCGACTGGACATCGCTGCATCCAGGCAGCCCGTTGCCCACCTGGCTGACCGTCTTTCGAGCCTGCGGCCACCACGAGCTCAACTTCGCCAGCGCAATCATTTACACGCCTGCCCCCGACGTGCACGAAGCGGTATTGTACTCCCCGCACGGCATGCGCACCTCCCAGGAGTCTCTGCAGACTCTTTTGCATCGGTCAGCGCCGGAGTTTAAGGTGCTTGCCCTTCTTCATGGGCTCAAAGAGAGCTGGACGTTCAATTGGCAGACGACGTTCGGTGTTGCGACCGGGTTGGAATTGCAGAGGCAGACGGACGCCAGGTACTGGATTGCGACGCACAACTCGCCGCTGAGGTATCGAGGGCTGCTGTGGATGATTGTTACGGATATCTCCCGAACTTTGGCATGGGCGCTCGACAAAGAAGAGGCACCAGGGTCGCAAGAGAAAGAAGTCCATGTCGTTGACGTAGAGAACGGCGGATTCTTCGTGTTGAAGTAGCTTCTCGGACGCACTATCCACATCTTGCTTGTGCCCTCCGACTCTTTCGTATGCAGCGCGGCTGTGTGTGAATTGTCTTCGATGCGTCAACCAGCGCAACGTCGTCGTCATGGCTAGGCTCCTCTTCCCGCGGACTACCACCATCACCCACGTCTCCTCCCCACCCTCGCCTTCCTGCTTCCTTCGTCGCAACATGCTCCTCAGTCACCGTCGCGCCCCGATCAAACCTAGTCATCCAGCCCAGCAACGTCATCTGCTCCGGCACAATCCACGAGAGCTCGTCCACCAGCACCTCGGCCACCGCTTTGAAACCGGGCCTATACCAGCTCCTTCCACGACGTCCGAACTTGATTCCTCTTCTTCTTCGTCTTCGTCGTCTACCTCGACAATCACCTGCTCCGACCCCGCCGTCGCGACCAGCAGGAATAAGACGTTGCCGCATCGCCGACGCAGCTTCCCCTCGTGCGCCTTCTTCGCCTCCGTTAGCAAAGCCTGCAGCGCTGAGGCCACGGCGGCAGGTAATGCGCAGAGAAAGATAAGTAGATTAGAACGCGACAGAAGAGGTTTAGGCTAGCAGAAAGACGAAGTCTTACGCTCGTGCTCTTGTAACTTCTATATACGCAGTATTATAGCCTTTATAGAAAAAAGAATAGCCTATATACTTAAATATTAAGGTTAGAACAGGCTAGAATAGACCTAGTAGTAGTAGTAGCCTTTATAGTTACTTATAGTGTAAAGTTCTAGCTCTTAATATAATAGTATAGCCTTTTTACTTAACTTTACTCTAAATCTATTAGAATAGAGAATAATAGATTATAACTTAATAATTTTTAAAAATATCTTTCTAAGTAAACTTATCTTAATAAATTTATTAGAATATAGAATAGTAAACTACTATTATAGAAATTTTAGTTTATATATAATAATATTAGAATATAATATTAGTAGTATAGTAGAGTAGATTATATATACTATTACTTTATATATAAAGCTCTTAAGATTATTATAAATAGAATAAAAGTATATATATACGCTAGTAAATAGATATAGATCTAGTTAAGATTAGATTATATTAGTAATAACTTTAATCTAATCTTAATCTAATCTAAAATAATATAGTATAAATATATATAGTTAAAGCTAACTTTATTAGAATAGATAATAATAGACTATTATTATATAAATTATAGTATATATATAGTAATCTTATAGTATAATATTACTAGTATATAATATAGTATTAGTAGGTATAGAACTAATATTAGCTATAGTAAGTATAATATTAGTAGATCTAGAAGTAATATTAGATAACTAATAATTTTTTTTAATCTAAATTTATAATCTAAATTATTTTAGCTATAATATAACTATATAGATAAAACTATTCTTTAAATTATAAGTATTTTAGAAACTTTATAATTCTAAAAGTATCTTTTCTTAGTATATTACTTATAGATATTAATCTAAGTTAAGTTTTACTAAATATTAAGCTATAAGTAAGTATAGTTCTAGAATTATATATATTCTAAAAGCTTTATAATTCTAGAAGTATATTTTTTTAGTATATTACTTATAAATATTTATATAAGTTAGACTTTATTAAATATTAAGCTATAAGTAAGTATAGTTTTAGAATTATATATATTCTAAAAGTTTTATAATTCTAGAAGTACTTTTATTATAAGTACTCTATTACTAACTTTATTATATAAAGAATTAAAGTAGAATTCTTTACTTTTACTAATAAATTACTAGTATCTATATTAGCTATCTACTATAATTCTTTATTCTTTATAACTATAATTATTAGTATTTAACTATTAGAATATATTTTAAAATTTTAATAGTAGTATTATTATTATATATACTCTTTTCTTTAATACTTATATTACTTTATATACTATTATATATAGTTATTTAAGTTATACTAATATTAATAATTAAAGTTTATATATAATCTTAAGTAAGCTATATAGATATTTTATAGTATATTAAGAATACTAAGTTTATATATACTACTTTTCTAACTAGCTACTTTTCTATCTACTTTTTTATATAAGTACTTTTATATCTATTATATAATAGATAAACTTACTATATTATATTTAGTACTTCTATTTTCTAATTACTAGTTTTAGTATTATTATTTTAATAGCATACGCTTATTCTACGTTTACTATCTACTTTTATAAGCCTATATTAGATATTATAAATTATTTCTATCTACTTAAAATATATCTTATCTTAGTATAATAAATTAATACTTATAATAATACTTATAAAAATTACTTTATTTATATTATTATAATATATACGCTAGTTACTCTATTAATATTAGATATATAAACTTTAAGCTAAAGTCTACTATAAGTAGTTTATACTACTTTAGTTTTTAGTACTTACTTTAGTTAAAGTTTATAAGATTCTATAGATAATATCTAGATTAAAGTTCTAAACTTTAATCTTTCTATAGATATTCTATAACTACTAACTCTTTTAACTTTATATAAAGTAGATATACTTTTATATAAGTAATAATATACTTATATATTCTAACTTTATTATATAAAGAATTAGAGTATAATTCTTTACTTTTACTAATAAATTACTAGCGCCTATATTAGCTATCTACTATATTTTATTATTTCTTATAACTATAATTATTAGTACTTAACTATTAAAATGTATTCTAAGATTTTAATAGTAGTATTATAATTATATATACTCTCTTCTTTAATACTTACTTTACTCTATACACTATTATACGTAGTTATTAAAGTTATACTAATATTAGAGATTAAAGTTTATATATAACTCTAAGTAGACTATATAAGTATTTTATAGTATATTAAAAATACTAAGTTTATATATACTACTTTTCTAACTAGCTACTTTTTTATCTACTCTATCTAAGAGAATATCTTAGAGCTACTAGATCTAAGTAATTTTTAGTTAAGATAATAAGTACTAATATACTAGTGCACAAGGTATTCTTATATAAATTAGATCTTTAATAACCTAAGAATTATCTAAAGAGAAAACGTCTTTTAATAAGAGCTCTTTAGAATTATTAGATTATCTACTATCTTATCTTTTACTTATACTTTTTAGTATTAAACTCTTATATAATACTTTAGATAATAGAATCTCTCTATAATAGAACTCTTTTCTACTAAACTAATATCTATATACTTTCTTACTTATACTAATTACCTTATGTTCTTATAGTAATATATCTTTATACTTTCTAATACCTATATAAATAGTAAAGTCTATAGAAATATATTCTACTACGTAGTATAAAAAGTAGTTAGTATATATTAATGTAACGCATATAGTAATAATAACTATAATAGATATAATAAGTATAGACTTAGCTCTTTTCTTTAGATTAGCTAAAACTATAATAGTAGTTATATTTAGGCTAACTACGTTCTTACTACTAAGTAATATTAGATAAGATAATTGCGTAGATAAGGTAACTACTTAGAAATACTAAAAAATATTAATTTAACTAATACCTAGAATAGTAACATTAGAAGTATAATAAAATACTAGGTTAACTAGATTAGTATAATACTATAATAGTATATTTAGAACGTATACTAGTGCAGAACTATAGTTTAATAAAACTAATAATCTAATAAAGTATTATAGTAAGTAAAACACTAAGCTATACTAACTATAAAGGTATTTAGAAAGTATTCTCTACTATTAGGTAGAGAGTATTAAACACTATTAAGTATTTAGAACTTATCTTTTAATTATATAATCTTTATAGTATAATATCTATTTAGTATTTAAGCTATTAAGTAAAAAAGTATTAGCTTCTTTATAAGTTATTTAGAACTATAATAGCTACTAAAGAAATAGAAGAAGTATAAAGCGTTAAGAGATCTAGTAATCTTCTCTTCTAAGTATTTATCTACTACTTCTTTAACTACTTTAACACTAAAGATACTAACTTCTAGAACTATCTCTAAAGTAGAGAGTATATTATTATTTATAATAGTAACTAATAGTATAGTCTCTATAGTTTACTCTAGACACGCTACTCTAGTCTTTACTAGTAATAACATTACTAAGTTTCTTAAAAACTATAACTAATAAGCTAATAATAGAAGCCTCTCTAATAAGATAAAAGTCTCTATTCTTCTAGATTATATTAGTAATAAGAATTACTCTATTACTTATATTATTAAGCTTTTTACTAGTTATAAAAAGAAGAACTAAGCTAAGCTTAAGGTAAATATAAAGAAATACTAAGTAGATAAGAATACTACTATTAAGATAGGTAAGCGCTTATACTTATAAGCTTTTATCTATAAATATATTAATAATCTACTTAGTCTTACTAAGTATTATACTTACTTCTATATAATAGTAGAAGCCTATATTACTAATAAGTAAGTTCTATAGAAAAAACTTAGCTTTCTCTTCTACTATAGACTTCTAAAATATAATAAGTAGATAGTTACTTTTATAATATCTAACGCTTCTAAAGATAATAATTAGACTAAGTACTATATAAATAAGATCTATACCTTTCTTAAGAAATACTATAGAAAGAATAACACTATTAATAATATATATACCTAGAAATATAGTAGTATAAATACTAAGATAAAATATATTATACTTACTAATAAGCGCGCTATCTTTAACCTAGAGAAGGTAAAGAGTATTATTACTAATCTTAAGAAGTAATAAAAGAAGTAAAAATCTCTACTTTTTTCTAATATAGATTCTAAAGTAGAATAACTTATAACTTTACTAAATAGACTAAGGCTTAACATAGATATAGTTTATTTCTTTATAGCCTACTTATTAGTTACTCTAATTTTTAAAAACTTTTATAATACTTTATACTTTATAGATTATATAACTAAGAAAGAGCTCTTTATTAAAAGAAATAATAGTTCTTTTATTACTAAAGTACTTAGAAATATAGCTTCTAAGAGAGAAACTATTTAGTATAGAAAGGCTAAGTATACTAACAC